ATAGAAATACCCCAAACAATCCAATAACAGGCAATGAAATTGAAGAAGTAATAATAAAAAAAAAAAGCCCACCAACTAAGAAAGCTCATGTCTCAATAGATTAACTGCTGAATTCTATAAGAACTTTAAGGAAGATCTGGTGCCAATACTCTCAAGCTCTTTAATGAAACAGAAAGAAAAGAAGTACTCCCACAGTCATTCTTGGCCTGATTCCAAAACCAGAAAAGGACTCCACCAAAAAAAGAGAACTACAGCCAATCTCCTTCATGAACACTGATGCAAAAATCCTCAATAAGACACTGGCAAACAGGATGCAATAAATCATCAGAACATCATACGCCATGACCAAGTAAGATTCACCTGAGGGATGCAGGGACAGTTTAACATATGCAAGCCAGTAAATGTAATACATCACATAAACAGAAGCAAGGGCAAGTTTCACACCATCATGTCAATTGATACAGAAAAAGCTTTTTTTTTTTTTTTTTTTTTGGTTTTTCTCCGGAACCGTGAACCGAACTCACGACCTTGCGCTTGCCAGGCAGGCACTTTTGCCGCTGAGCTAAATCCCCAGCCCCAGAAAAAGCTTTTGACAAAGTTCAACAACCATTCATGATTACAAACCCTGAAGAATATAAGACCTTATCTCAATATCATAAAAGCCATTTATGACAAACAAACAGCTAACATCACGTTAAATGGAAAGAAGTTGAAAACTTTCCCTTCAAAACAGGGAACAAGACAAGGATGTCTGCTGTTACCACAGTGTTAAATATAGTTCTTGAAACATTACCCAAAGCAATCATGCAAGAGAAAGGAATAAAAGGAATACGTATAGGAAAGGGATAATGCAAATTATCATTTGCAAATGGCACACTCATCTACATAGAAGACCCAAAATATTCCACCAAAAGATTTCTAGAATTAATAACCAAATTCAGTAATGTAGCAGGATACAAAATCACACTTAAAAATCAGTAGCATTTCTCTACACCAATAATGAACACATCAAGAAAGAAATTAGGGAAACAATATCTTGCACAATAGCATCAAGAAAAATTACATACCTAGGAAGTAACCTAACCAAGGAAGTGAAAGACCTCTAAAATGAAAACTACAATTTTATGAAAAGGGAGATCTGGCCAGGCGTGGTGGCGCACACCTGTAATCCCAGCACTCGGCAGGCTGAGGCAGGAGGATCATGGCGAGTTTGAGACCAGCCTGGGCTACAAAGTGAGCTCAAGGCCAGCCTGAACTGAACTGAGACACTGTCTCAAAAAAGAGAAAGAAAAAAAAAGAAAAGGGAGATCAATATGGACATCAGAAAATAGAAAGACGTTTCCTATTCCTGGATAGGCAGAACCAAAATAGTCAAAATGTCCATACTTCCAAAACTGATACACAGATTTAATGCAGTCCCAATCAAAATACCAATACTATTCCTCATAGAACAAGAAAAAACAACCCTAAAATTCATGTAGAACCAAAAGAGACATAGGATAACAGAAACAGCACTGAATAGCAAGAATAAGGCTTTGTTATGCTATAAAGCTATAGTGATAAAAAGCACCGTGCTATTGGAAAAATAAACAACAACAACAAAACCAGACATGTAAATCAATGGAACAGAACAAAGGATTCAGAAACAACTCTAAGCATACTCAGTTACGTAATCTGTGACAAAGGGGCCAAAAACTTGTGCTGAGGAAAGATAACCTCTGTAACATATGATGTGGGGGGAAACTGGCTATCCACATGCAGAAGAAGATTGAGTCTAGGTTCATATCTGTCACTGTAAACTAAACTAAACTAAAATCAAAAAAGATTCAGACCTAAATACTAAAACAGAAGCAATTATGGGAATATAAAATAAGTAAAACTCTTAAAGTTATAGGCAGGGGCTGGGGATTTAGCTCAGCGGCAAAGCGCCTGCCTGGCAAGCGCAAGGTCATGAGTTCGGTTCCCGGTACCGGAGAAAAACCAAAAATGCCAAATAAATAAATAAATAAATAAATAAAAATAAAGTTATAGGCATAGGCAAGGACTTTCTGAACAAAACCCCCACTGCACAAGGGATAACACCAAGAATCAACAAATGGGATCATATTAAAAAGCTTCTGCACGGCAAGGAAAACAACCAACAGAGTGAAGAGACAACCTACAGAATAGGAAAACGTTGCTGTTACCTATTCCTCAGACAGAGGACTAATATCTGGAGTATATAAAGAACTCAAATAAATTAAACTCCCCCAAAATAAAAGATGCAATCAAATATGGACAACTGGAATGAACAGACATTTCTTGGAAGAAGAAATATAAATGGCCAATACATAGAGTGGTGCCTTGGTTCATGAACTTAATTCCTACTATAATTCTGTTTGCAAGCCAAATTTGGTGAGAACCAAATCAAATCCACTGATTAGGTTCAATGCTGACCTTGTGGGGGAATTTGATTCGGTTTTTGTCCCTTTCAGTTTACACCCAGAACAGTGAAAAGAATTGAATTCATGAACCCAGGTACCACTGTACATGCAAAAATATTCAACATCTCTGGCCATTAGAGAAGTGTAAATTAAAACAACACTAAGATTCCATCTAACTCCAGGAAGAATGGCTATCATCAAGAAATTAGATAATAACAAATGCTGCTAAGGCGGGGTGGGCCCTTCCTCATTATTGGTAAGAGTAAACTGGTACAACCAGTATGGAAATAAGCATGGAGAGTTCTCAAAAAACTAAATCTAGAAATTCCATTCTACTCACTTATTTCCCTCCTATTTTCCCAATATAGTTAAATACATCGTATTACAGTGATACATGCATACCCCTCTTTATAGCAGCATAATTCATACTAGCTAAATCTTGGAAGCAGCTTATATGTCTACCAACATATGAATGGATAAAGAAAATGTGGTATTTATACACAGCAGAGTACTACTCTGCCATAAGGAAGGATAAACCTCAGTCATTTACAGGAAAATGGATGCATCTTGAATGTTTAGGTAAATCAGACACACAAGCTTAAATATTGCATGGTTTCTCTTATATGAGAAACTCAAAATGTAAATAAAGGACAAAATAAAAGATAGATAATAGGAAAAATAAAAGAGATGAAGCGGGGAGGTAAGGAGAATAATGTAGCTAGGACAGAAGGGAGGGGAAGGGGATATAAAAAAAATAAGATGTGTACATGTACCATCTTCTGATGAATATGATCACCATGTACTGCAAACATGTACGAGTAACATTTTTTTTAAATGGAGGTAGTGAATAGATGAATATTGACAAGAAATGTGACTGTTACTCTACAGCAGGTTGCTCCAGGAAGGGAGTGCTGGGTTTTTCAGATGTGCCCACCCAAGTCCTGGAAAAGCAGAAGAGTGCAGGCGAGGAGCTCTTTGGGTGAGCCTTTGCAATAATTAGATAGCGTTTTTGGTATAATTTTACTGGATTGGAAAAAAACACCGAGTTTCATTTATTCCATGGCTGTGTATTAGTCTCTAGTGTGTACAGGCTCTGGGCTTTTGTCTTTTGAATGGAACCGTGAATAAGTAAAATACATCAGTGTATTTAGATATAAAATCCCACATTTTATCACCCCTTTTACATTACAACAAAAAGTATCTGAAATTTTCTTGTGGAAATAAATTAGATAGCTTGTATAGCTCAAGATATTGTTGATGCCTAATAAATGAGACTTTCAAATATGACATAACCATACACAATGTGTAAATATTGAGTAGATCCTGATTTCTTAAAAAAGAAAAAGGTGTAAACTGGACATAGTGTTACAGACTTGTACTTCCAGACCTGTAGTCTGGAAGGCTAGGGCAGGAGGATCACAAGTTCTAGCCAAGCCTGGACAACACAGTGAGACCCTATCTCAAAATAAAATATAAAAAATGAAAACAGATTAGGGATATAGCTCAGTGTTAAGGTCCAGGGTCCAATTGCCAGGGCTGAATAAAAAAAAGAGCCATAAAGGACATCTATGGGACAATCATAGACATTTGGAGTTGAGTTGGATATTAGATATTAGGGTATTCCTGAAAAGTCTTTAGATGTGACAATGACATTGGTGGTATAAAGATTACTATCCTCATTCTTAATGCTTGAGGCAATATTTAGGGGTGATATGTCATGATTATGTGCAACTTGATTTTAATGGTTCAGAAATAATGGTTAAGTAAAAAAATTAATAAAAGTTAAATGTGGGTGGTTGTTTTTTGGGTGTTGTTTGTTTTTTGAGACAGGGTCTCACTATGTAGTTTAAGCTGGCCTTAAACTCACTATTAGTTCAGCCTGGCCTTGAACTCTTAGCAATTGTCCTGCCTCAGCCTCCTGAGTGCTGGGATTACAAGAGTGTGTCACCTTGCCCAGCTAGTTTATGAGTTTAAGAGTTCTCACTCTTCTATTCTTCCAATTTATGTAGATGTTTAAAAATTTTTAGAATGAAAAGTTGGGAAAATATCTTAGTTCTTTTTTCTCTTCCTTGTTATAAACAAGAATGATTACATAATTCTCCCAGGAGAATCTTCCCAAAATATGAATTAGAAATCAGAGACCATACAAATTCAAGAAAGTTTCAGAAATGATTTTGTTGTTGTTCTTTTAAATCGAACTTACAGAGGGCTGGGGATATAGCTCAGTGACACAAGCACCTGCCTGACAAGCACAAGGTCCTGAGTTTGATTCCCAGTACCAAAAACCCTCCCAAAACAAAACAAAACAAAAAACACACACAAAAAAAACCCTGAAATAATAAATCAAAGTAATATTACTTCAGGGTAAACTCAGATCTGAGGTGATCCTTTCCATGAACTTTGTCACAATTTTTTGTTTGTTTGTCTTTTTGAGACAGGGTTTCACTATGCAGTTCAGGCTGGCCTTGAACTTACTTTGTAGCCCAGGCTGGCCTCAAACTCACAGCAATGCTCCTGCCTCAGCTTCCTAGCCCAATGTCACAAAATTGTTGAATGTTTGTCTATATTCCATCGTACCTTCTACATTCACCTTTGCCAAGGGAGTTGTATCATCACGGCCGCTAGCAAGGTGCCGCCACTTAGAGAGTCCACATAAATGTCCACAATATGGCATGCCTGTAGAGTGGGGAGGATAGATCCAAGAAAATTAGAAGATGCAGTTTCACTTAGAGAGGTTAAAATTTAATTGAATCTGGGCTCTGAAAATTTCTTTCCATAGCCAGACATGGTGGTGCTCACCTGTAATCCCAGGATTCTGGGAGAGTGAGGCAGGAACAGCCCAAGTTCAAGACCAGCTTGGGGCCCGGGGAGAGAGCTCAGTGGCACAGCACCTGCCTGACAAGCATGAGGTCATGAGTTCGATTCCTAGTGCAAAAAAACTGGGCAATTTAGTGACGTAATTAGACCTTGTCTCCCCCCCAAAAAAGGATAAAACCAAAACCTCTTGTACTTAAAATTTAATTGGAAGGCAAAACAGGATGAAGTTGAAGAACAAAAAATAAATCAGAAACTATTGGGGTTGGGGATTTAGCTCAGCGACACAGCTCCTGACTGGCAAGCGCAAGGTTATGAGTTCGGTTCCTGGTACTGGAAAAAAAAAAAACCCAAGAAATAAATCAGAAATTATAGATTAAAATAATGTAGCTGGGTATGAATGGCACACATTTATAATCCCAGCTACTTAGGAGGCTGAGGCAGGAGGATAGCAATTTTGGGGCCAACCTGGGCAACTTAGTGAGATCCTATCTCAATACAAAGTAAAAAATAAAAAGGGCTGGGGATGTAGCTCAGTTGTCCCTAGATTCAAACCCTAGTAACATAAAAATGAACAAACGAATAAACAATTCTAAGAGGAATTATAAGGCGGAACCTATCGCTAATATGGGTGTGGGAATTTGTAATAATCTAGATGTTCACAGAGACCAGGAATCCATAGGTTGTATGTCTCTACATAAATTAAATTTTTTTCAAGTCCAAGTAGATTTGGGGTGTCATAACTGGAATTTTCTATTGCTGTTTATCCACATTTTAAGTGAGGCACTTTTTCCCTGAAGTTAAGGCCCAAAGCAATATTGTACATCTAAGTACAGAGGAATTGTCTTTGTGAGGATTAATTTCATCATGCCCCCAAAGCCCTGAGGGGGAAGAGTGCATTCAGTGTCTGAGACACATTGTGTACACAATATATACAGAATTAGGTAAGTACGATCTACAGTCCAAGTATTAGAATTAAAATAATGTTACTAGTTTTCTATAAGAAAGGAAAAAATGATTGATCCCCTAGAAAATCATGATACAAAAAAATGACCTAAATTCATATAGGATCTAAGAATTCTTGCAGCTACTATGACAACTTTATTCAGAAAGAGCTACTAACATTCTGTTATATTTACCCAGGCAATTTTCATGAAGATAAAATGTACTGAGTTAGTCCTTTGGTTTTAAGACTAAAGAATCATTTTCAACTTGGTGAAAATTAGATAGACATGCAGTATTTCTTTTTACCTCTAGATGGTGCTATGTAATGAGTTTTATTTTGTAAGAGCAAGTCATGAGATAAAGCTATTGGAATTTTTAAGATAAAAGTTGTGCTCAGTGGACTGGAGATACAGCTCAGCGGTAGAGCACCTTCTGATTAGTATACATGAGGACCTAAATTCGATTCCTAGCTCTACAGAAAAGAGAAAAGGAAAAATAAATTTATGACTTGGCCTAAAATGTGTAATATATTATTTGACCAAAAAACCTGGTCATTCCATAATTATGTCAAACAGCATTTTACTATTGTGACAGGTTCAAAACTTATTTTATTGATTCATGGAATATTTAGTTACTGATTTTCAGTAGTGGGGACTGAACACTGGGATTCCGTATCACGGAGCTATATCCCTAGTCCTTTTTATTTCTTATTTTAAGACAGTCACTAAATTGCCCACGCTGACTGGAAAATTCAGTCTTTCTTCTCTCCCTCCTGAGTAGCTGGGATTACAGGTAGGAGCCACCAGGAATTTTCTTTGAAAGTTCTAAAAGAGAATGTTTCTCTTCACTTACATGAACATAGATTATAATGGAAGAAAATCGGATGTCATTATATGTTCCCCTAAATTACAGCAGAAATCCTACTGACTAAAGAACACATATAATGTGCTGACAAGGAAATGCAAATTGCAAATAATTATGTGAAAATATATTCAAATGCATTAATCATCAAATCACAAATAAAATGTCGAGGTGCATTTCCTTTTCAGATAAAAAAAAAATCCTGTACATTAAGTGATCATCTTCAGAGATACTGGCATGGTGACAGGCATTTCACCCCCTGGCAGAGTGCGTGTGGAGTGGTACCACTTCTCTGAAGGTTAATTTGGCAGATGTTATGAAGAAACTTAAACTGTTCAAACTCTACCCTAGGATGTCCACAGCTAGTCTCCTCTCTGAATGAAAAAGAAACAGAAACACAGACAGTCACTTATTTACAAAGTCACTTATTTACAATTCTCCTGCCTCAGCTTTCTGAGTCGATAGGATTACATACAGGTGTGCACTGCCATGCGCAGTGTGAACAACATGTAACACGTCACATTTCACATCTCTATTCATTCCCGTGTTCTCTATATGACTTGCTATATATAGCATTTGTAAATACAAAAATTATTACAAGTTAGGCGTGGTGGCATATGCCTGTAATTTCAGCACTCTGGGAGGCTGAGGCAGGATGATCACAAGTCTGAGCCCAGTCTGGGCAATTTAGCAACCTACTAAGACCCTGTCTCAAAATACAAAATAAAAAGGGCTAGGAATATCGCTCAGTATGAAGGCCCAGGATTGAATCCCCAGCGCCCCCCACACACACACACGCACACACACACACACACACACACACACACAGAGTCTTCCGTGCTCTTAGCAACAGAATATGAAGACCTGATTGGCTGGTGAGAAGGACACAGATAGTGCCCTCCATGAGCCAGGAAGGGCCCTCAGCACACACTAAATCTGACAGCTCTTTGAGGTGGGACTTCCCAGGCTCCAAAACTGTGCGATGTAAATGTTATATATAGGACACTTACACTGACCCACTGCTTAAGTGTCAGAGCTGGGGGCACAGAAGCTGCTACTGATCCCTGAAAATAAAGTCCTGTATCCCAACAGCCACAGATATGACTGGAAGGGTGCAGCGGCCTTACCCACTAATGTGCCTCTGCTTACTTTCCACAGGACAATGTTGGCAGGAACTCTAGTGTCTAAATGCACACAGCTGCCCTAATCCTCCCCACCGGAATCTTCCTTAAAGTAGCTATGATACTCAGGTGCTACCTACAAGGAGTGCTTGAGAGGACATCAGGCAGGGTGCTTCGTCCAAAACCACCTACCCCACTGCCTCGTCATTCTGTTTAACTTCGGCTCCTGAAAGCTACCGCAAATTAAATTACTATTTGTGGTACCGGGTATTGAATACAGGGCCTTTACACTGACCTACATCCCCAGCCCTTTTCTTCTTTTTAATTTTGTGACAGAATCTCACTAAATTGCCCAGGGTAGGCTTGAACTTGTCGTGATCCTCCTGCCTCAGCCTCCCAGAGTTCTGGGGTTATAGGCACACACTACCATAACCACCCACAAATTCTTTATGAAGATCGATTTCAAAAAATGGAAAGAAATCCAACTTGAGTAGAACAGGGTCAAGTTATAGAATGGGTCGAGTTCAACAAGGACTTTAGTGAGTCCACCGTGAAGTGTGAAGAAATACATTTCACTATGTCTTTCCTCTGACAGTAGCCAAGGGCATGTCCTTTTACCATTGCTATTATTACTTTTATTTATTTTTTGTTTTGGTGATACTAGGGATTGAAATCAAGCCCTTCCACATGCTAGGCAAGCACTCTACCACTGAGCTACGCCTCTAGCTCTTTTTAAATTTTAAAAGAGTTACTCACTGTTTTGCCCAGGCTGGCCTTCAACTTTGAATTCTCCTGCCTCAGCTTTCTGAGTCGATAGGATTACATACAGGTGTGCACTGCCTTGTGCAGTGTGAACAACATGTAACACGTCACATTTCACATCTCTATTCATCCCTGTGTTCCCTAGGGTACCGTGTTTGAACGGTCAGTCTCGAAGTCATGACTCAGCCACGTGTCTGAGTTACTGCTGCAAAATAGATTATAGGTTAAGGTTTGCTGTGTGTCTGTTTTAAAAATGATTTCTTTGATGTGAGTCAAATTCCATTTTTGGCCATCAGTGTGTTGATGGCCAACTTTGAAATCTCTGGTGTTTTGTTATAGAGACTACATCATTTTTTGAGACAGAGTCTCGCCATGCAGTCCAGGCTGGCCTTGAGCTCACTTTGTAGCCCGGGCTGGTCTTGAACCCACAATGATCCTCCTGCCTCAGCCTCCCGAGTGCTGGGATTACAGGCATGCGCCACCACACCTGGCTATTATTTTAAACTATTAGCCTTGAGGTGATTTATTATACAGCACTACCTAACCAGTACAGCAAGGCAGTCACGTAGTAAGTAAATTTTCCAAGGTCACATGCATTACAAGTTTTAAATGTGAATCCAGGTGTTCAAATGCCACAGTCTGTCCATCTGCACTCTGCATGGCAAAGGAGCTGGGGCCTATATGGGTCAGCCTTCCCACTGCTGGGACAAAACACCTGACCCTCACAATGTAAGGGAAGAGAGGCCTTTTGTGGCTTACATTTCCGGAGGTTCAGTCCACGGTCACTGTATCCAAGGCAAAGACATTATGGCGGGAAGGTGTGGTGGGGGGAGCTGCGCGTGTCCTGGTGGCTGAGAAGTGGAATGGATTGCAAAGAGCCAGAGAAGGGACCAGGGAGCAGATACAGTACAGGGTTCCCTAAGGCCACGCCCATAGGGCCTACTTCCTCCAGCGAGGCCCCGCCTCCCAGCAGCTCCTTAGTGATGGACTCATCCTGGCTTAGCCCCTGGGAGGCAGAGCCCTCGCAATCCCACGACCTCGCCAGCAGCCTCACTCCCTCCAGTCAAGCTGGCCACCACAATTCACTGGCACGGGCCTGGTATGGTTTAGATCCAAAGTGTTCCCCAAAGCCTCCTGAGTTCAGAGGATGGGCTTTTGGAAGCTGGCTGGATCCTGAGGACTCGAACTTTATCAGGAGATCAATCTATTGATATGATCACAATTTGACAGCAGCGCTGGGAGGTCATGGAAACTGAGAAGCTGTGCCCAGCTGAGAGGAGGGGGTCAAGTGGCTGTGCCCCCAGGGACTATAGCTTGTCTCTGGCCCCTCCTCTG